AAATCAGTTCAGTCACAAACCACAGCTTACGAAGTTGGTTTGTTTGTGCTGATTCAGGGTCAGAAGTCTCTGCAGTGAAGCGGTTCAGGTGCGTGCACAAAGACGTTCAAAGTTTAAACGAGTTTGGAGAAATTAGGTATAAGACAGAAACAAACGTGCAAGTTCAAATGCACGATTATAGCCAAAAATCATGGCAGGTTGTTGAATTCAGGTTGTTAAACTTCAGGAGGATTGTTTTCATTAGGGATGCACGATATTATCGGCATGGTATCGGACGATATTAGCGTTAAAGTTAAATATCGGACATTCCATCAAAATAACTCACCGATATAAAAGACGCTGTTTTTGTTCGACAACCCAGTGACGAGGACGCCTGCAGCGCCAGCACGTGATGACGTCACACGCGCTTACCTGATCTGATCCTGGCGGAGAGGAAGAAGTCAAAATGTCGATGGTGTGGAAGTTTTTTTTTTCCGTCGAGGATGTTGGATTCCGAAGATTTGTGGACTATGTTGAGCTACATCGTCCCCAGTCTGAGATAGTTTTCCGACGTAGCCTTACTCGAGTTACAAACCGTCATTTCCGACGTCAATGAGAAGCTAACAGCCGATAGCACTTGGGTGAGTTTTACCACAGACATTTGGACGTCGTGTTAGCCCCGTTAGCATGATTAGTCTTACGGCACAATGGATACACAAAAACTTTGAACTTAAAAAGTGTGTCCTTCATGCACAGGAGTGCAGAGGAGCCATCACTGCAGCTATAGGAACCTGGAACAAGCCTACACAAGTGAGACAGCGTCGCAGGTGACTAATGCTAATAAATAACATTTAACACTTTTCATTTAATATAAGTCAAAGTGCTATGTATATCATATGGCTGTTACTGAATATATGTCACCAGCTGTTACAGCTGTTAAACAATATCTGTAGCAAATAAGCCTAAATAAGAGGGCTATGTTCTGACAAAGGAACGTATATAAAAAATATCAGTATCGGTTATCGGCCAAATAAGTTTTAACATATCGGATATCGACCAAAATTCCAATATCACGCATCCCTATAGTTTTCATCCATCCATTGTCTTCCACTTATTCCGATGTCAGGTTGCGAGGTCAGCATCTTGAGCAGGGAGTCCAGACATCTCTCTCCACAACCACCTCTTCCAGCTCTTCTGGCAGGACTCCAAGGTGTTCCCAGACCATCCGAGAGATGTAGTCTCTCCAGCGTGTCCTGGGTCTTCCCTCTCAGTTGGACATGCCCGAACCACCTCCCTAGGGATGCGCTGAGGGAGCATCCTTACCAGATTTTTGAACCACCTCAACTGGCTCCTCTCCATGTGGAGGAGCGAGTCTCTCCTGATAACTGAACTTATCACCCTATCTCTAAGAGAGAGTCCAGCTACCCTGCAGAGGAAACTCATTTCAACCTCCTGTATCCACGATCTCGTTCTTTCAGTCACTACCCAGAGTTCATGACCATTGGTGAGGGGAGGAACATAGACTGACCGGTAAACAGAGAGCTTTGTCTTACAGCTCAGCTCCCTCTTCACCACAACGGACCGGCACAGAGTCCGAAATACTGCAGACGCTGCACCAATTCGTCTGTCAATCTCACGCTCCATTCTTCCCCCACTCGTGAATAAAACCCCAAGATACTTGAACTCCTTCGCTTGGGGCAGAACCTCACCCTGGACCCTAAGAGAACTATTGGATTGCTTTCAGTTTTGCTAAATTGAGGGTTGTGAGTGAAACATCCCCATAAGTAGATAAAACTGCCATACGGATGAGTCAACTGTGAGTTTTAATTTAGTCTTGTGCTTATTTCCAGGGGAACTCAGTACCTGACTGGTGGCGGTGACCATACTCAGGTGCAACGATTTAAAAACGCTCAGCGCCTCAAAGTTTCTCACCATGTTTCGTCTGTGCCGTTTCAATTCGTTCCTGTAAGTTTGACGTCGTTTCTTGTTTGGTTTGTTACGTTTCAGGTCGTTCCCGTGCGTTTCGTGAACTTTGTTTCTGACAAACAGTCTGGGGCAACAAACCTCACCAACCTTCTTGCTTGAAGTGGAACAGGAACATTGTAATGTTCTGTTCTCCCAGCTGAAAGACAGAAAAGAGAATTCCCAGTGAATGTGAACTGAAACACTTGAATGCAGCAGTAAAATGAAAGAAAGATAAATTTGTAAAGTTTATAAACCTTGATTGTTTTCTCCAGTGGTTGACCTTATTTTGGTAAAGATCCTGTTCTCATGTGAGCACATTTTTTATCAGAAGTCTTTGCAGGGGCCTCGACCAGATCTTTGCTGAACCGACATGACTCTCTCCAGGAAGAACAAGCGGTTTAGATTCACAGGATGGTTTGAAGTCTGACTGTGAATAAATAAAAATCACCCAGTAATAATTACTTGTTTTACTTCAGATAGAAACGTGTTTTTTTTCTTCCTCAGAGTTTCAAAGAAATATGAAGTGTTGGTGAAGGTTTTCTGCCACCTAGTGGTTAAAATTAGAACTGCATGATTTATATCTTTTTCACATTTCTTTGCTTTTTTTTCTTTATTCACCTGATTATTTATTGTATTTTTATCTCTTTGATGAGTGTTTACAATCATGAAAGAAATGATTTATCACCTCTATATGCCATTTTTGTTTTTAAACTATTTATTTTTATGCCTTGTCTTTCATATTTCTCTTACTTTTTACAGTTACGGCTCTTACTGTAAATGTTTGAATTCAAAAACCTGTTTTACTGATAAAATCTCAGTTATTTTCTGTGTAAAGTCGACCAGCAGAGGATGCTGTGGTCGCTTCTTTAATACTCGCCTGCACTTCAGAAATTAACAAGGAATATTTTAAATGTTATTGATGTAAACGAGATAAGACAGTTGCATTCAAGCCCTGAAGTAGATTATGTTCTTTACTCAATATTTTTGATTCAGTTGTCGTTTTTGTTCGATTAATGATGAAACATTAACTTTAGAAGAACCAAACATGAGCAGATACTCATGTTTGGTTCATTTAAAGTCACGACGACAACCAGATCATTTTTTAAATGTTTGCTTTTAAATTTGCAACAAGAGACACCTTTGTTGACCATATTTAATCATGTGAGTATTTTAGGAGATCTGATCTTAGTAAGAATGTTGAAGCAGTTGAATGTTTGACTATAAGATCATGAAAACCACCCTAAACTCTTTGAACACATCTCATCATGGATAAAAAGGACAAATGGAGGTGTTTCTGTTCTGACGTCAGGAGTGTTTGCTTTGGGTTAACAAGGTAATAAAACTTTATTCCCTCTCCTCCTGGGAGCTGATATAAGATGACAATCTGCTGTCGGTGAGGGCGGCCTGCGCCCACGTTGCGTAATTCAACACCTTCTGGCTTCTCTTTCTCTGCTAAAAATACCGTCAGGATCTGGACCTCCATCTGATACCGCCCTGCCTGCCTGCTGTTGCTTCAGCCTCACAACAAAAACAAAACATCCCTCATTCAGTCTCACACACACAGAGGAGTCCTGCTGTCAGATTTGCCTCCAAATAAGAGAAGGTCTGTGAAGTTTGTCTGAGGGAATGAGAAGCGGCTACCTGAGGTCAGCTGCGCGACCCCAGGTGTTTGCAGATGTTTCTCTGTGCTGCAGCTGGAAGTAAACAGAATAAAACAATCAGAGGATGAAGTTAGAAAACTGCAGAAACCTTCATTTGGTCATTCTGCCTTTCATGGTTATAAGACCTGGAAGGCTGATCAAACGAAGTGGACCATTTTCACAGTCTTTTTATTCTAGTTCTATATTTGTGCATGTATTGTGAAAAGTGAGTTGTTTCTTCCAGGAGAGACAAAGAAAATATTTTGTTTTTCTAGTGCATCAACAAGATTCTGTTGTAAAATATTTTCTTCCATCGTCTGCTTCGCCTCCATCTCATCGTGTCCCAGCGTCCTCCTTCACTTCATCCATGAACCTTCTCTGCAGTTTCGTCTCTTCCTCCTCCCTGGAAGCTCCATATTGAACAGCCCATGTCCAACATGTCCACTGTCCCTCATCTGGATGTCTAAACCACCCCGGCCTTACATTCCATCACAAAATGAGCCCAAGTTGGCCCCTCCAGTGAAAATCTGAACACCTTCATCTCAGTCACCTCCAGCTCGTCCTCGGATCTTTAATTTGGAGACAACAGCTCTAAAATCAAACATCACTGCAGGTCTCCTCCCGTCATAAATCCTCCCCGACACTCGTCTCCATCCACTCCACCTTCGGCTGGTTCACACCAGCTCCTCAAACATCTCTACTCACTTTTAACATTTTTATTCACAAACACAAATGCTCTCTTCCACCCACTCCCTACCCTCACTACAGATCCTGTCTGCAAACATCACAGTCCATGTGGACTCCTGCCGGTCCATCATCTCTGCAAACAAGCTCAGAGCTGATATCCGATGAGGCTTTTCTAACATTAGAAACAAAACGGTGAACTCAAACACATTTAGTTAAAAAAAAAGATGATTTTTTTCTGATTATTTATGGAAGTTTTGTGCTAATTTGATTGCACATAAATAACCACCATGACCACTTACCTTCAGGCAGGTGTTACAGAACTGACAAACATAAAACCAACCACTCTTACATCAGTTAATCAATGAGGAAACTGATTTGGCAACAATTTGCCTCATGTTTAATCTTCGCCTGCTGCCAAAGGTGAAATAGTAATGGTTTTACCTGTGTCTTGTTCATTTGTCTGTAGCGTTATCAAAATATCTCATGAAGCAGTGGACAGATTTTAACATCACATAATCTCAGATTGCAGTTATATACTGAACGAAAAAGGACTTTTATGTTTTCTTGGAATAAAAAAGTCATATTCAGACAGTTTATCTTCTATATACAAGACTGTTTAATTCAGGGTTATATCTTCATATCAATACAATGGTACCTGTAAAATGTATTCTAACACATACAGTATATAAGTAAATATTATTTAGTGACGTGGTTTAAATACAAAGCTGATTCAGTCAATACAGTATTTACAGTCAGAAACATTTCTTCAGCCGCTGCTGGATCGTTTATATTCAAATCTATTAAAATGTCAGTTTATGTTTCATTAAAACACATTTATGATTACAGATAATAAATATTGTATTTACAGTCTGTCATGTTGAAGTCCCCTTTCAGATTTCGGTCACTGCCTTCAGAGGCCCTAGCGAGCCCCGAGTGCCGTCTGAGTATTGCTTGCGTTTCATTGACATTTCCTCAGTCTGGATCGCGTCCCCCCCTTTCTAACAGAAACCAGACCTGGACCGGCGTCGCCCGAGGTGTCCTCTTCTTGCATATTGCTTTATTGCTGCAGCCTGTGGCATCGAGGGAACAGGAAGGCGCTGACAGACTTTAATAAAAGACGAGAGATTAAATGGGAGATCTGGTCCCAGAACGTCAGGGGGGTCAGAACAGGTCCTGAGGGCCCAGGTGGATGATTATAGGCGTGGCTATGGTCTGCGGCTGGTAGTAGGCACTGTCAATGTACAGACCACCTGCAGACAGGAGACATGGGTTAATGCCAAGGATCAACAGGAGCAGAGCCTCAAACCAAATCTGCAGGTTTAAAATTAAGATTGTTAGTTACCATGGTTATGACTCGGTTGTTACCTGTTAAAGTTGTTACCATAATTATGGCTCTGTTGTGTTATGGTTGTTACCATAGTTATGGCTCTGTTGTTACCTGTTAAGGTTGTTAGTTACCATAGTTATGACTGT